AATTAATTACTGTAATACATCACATTAACAGAATGGCGGTTCCTCAAAAATAGAATTAACATATGACACAGCAACTCCACTTCTGGGTATGTACCCCAAAGCATTGAAAGCAGGGTTTCAAAGAGACATTCGCACACCTATATTCATGCAGGAGCTAAGAGATGAAAGCAACCTACATGTCTATTGATGGATGAATGGATAAAATATGGCATATGCATACAGAGAAATATTATCCAGATTTAAAAACAAAGGAAATTCTGACACATGGTACAGCATGGATGAATCTTAAAGACATTATGCTGTGAAATAAACCAGTTACAAAAGGACAAATATTGTATGACTCCACTTACATGAGGTACCCTTATTAGTGAAATTCAGAGGCACAACGTAAGGTGGTGGCTGACAAGGGCTGAGGGAAAGGAGGAAGTGGTGGTAATATTTAATGGGTATAGAGTTTAAGTTTGGGAAGATAAAAAAGTCCTAGAGATGAATGGTAGTTATTATTATACAACAAAATGAAAGTACTTAATGCCCTGGAACTGTGCATTTAAAAATGATTAAAATATTGAACTTTAAGTTTTGTGTACTTTAGCACAATTTTTTTAAAAAGTAAAATTAGGACTTATACCTAAACTTATAAAATAAAATGCCTTGAGAACCCAACATGTTGGAGCACTTGGAAGATTACAAAGGAACAACTCTGCTCTTGAGCTCATATGTCAGCTTCTGTGTTTTTATCCAAGATGCCTGGCCCGACCAATACACCACAGAAGTTGGTATTAAAAAGTGGGTAAGACTTGCATTTCAGAGTTAGAGTACCTGGTTTTAAATCCTAGAGTTTAGATCCATGCATGAGACTGCACTCTGTTAATCTGTTATCTTCCTTCTCATGCTTTGATATGAGTAGTAATTCCAGAAACTCACTCAGAAAGGCACACTTTTTCTGAGGCAAGTATTGGTTGTGCTGTTTATTTGGATATAGTTCAGTTGTGGTCTGTTCCACAACTTTATGAGTGAAGTTTTGATACAACAGCTCTTCTGCAATGCCTCATGCTCTCACAGAAATACCTTGTTGGCAAATTTAGTAGACAATGGACTGGATATAGATTTGTGTGATGTAGTCTCCTCAAAGTCTAGACTTCACAATATGCAACAATTCACAATGGGGTTTTGTGAAGAACTTTCCTTCAATCTGCTTAACAGAAACTAAATATCAAAAAACCAGCTATCAGCCTCTGTTTTAATAACTTCGAACTGCTAACATGGAAGAAGGTATCCAGAAGAGCAATTAAAATTGATTTAGTGCATGGAGGAGGGCATACACACTTATAATTATGGCCTTCTCTACTGTGTGCTGGCTATGTGACCTTAAGCAAGTTATGTAACCTTCCTGGGCCTTGGTTTCTTCATCTTAAAATGGGTATTTTAATAGTATCTACTGCACAGGGTAATGATGGGAATGAAGTAAAATGCTTCCAATTGTCTTCCTGTTTCTACCTCTGCTCCCTTAAAACTCTTCCAATTCTGCAGCTGTAGCTGCAGATTTTATGTCATCCCGTCACATCTTGGCTCAATATTAGAATGACTCCCCATTATGTTCAGAGTGAAAGCCAGTCTGCAAAGTGGCCTCCATGGCTCTGTGGATCCAGCCCCCTGTAGCCTCTCTGCTATCTATCTGCTTTTACTATTTTCCCCTCACTTCCTGTTAGCAACACTGGCCTTCAACATGCCAGGGATAATTCTGCCTGGAGTTCCTTTTGGGGGCTGATCCTCTGCCCAGGACACCCTTCATCCACATATGCACACAGCTCATTCTTTCTCAGCTTTAAAGCTTTATATCACGTCACCTTTCAGTGGCCTACACTGATCACCCTAATAAAACAGAAGAATGCCACCCCAGCATTATCTCCCCTCCTTCGCCTGTTGTGATTTTTGGATAGCACTTATAACCTTCTAATATGCTGTGCATTTACCTATATATTCTGTATTTGCCTGTAGCTGCTATTAAAAATTTAAGACCAAAGGAACAGGGATTTTTACCGTTTTTTTCACTACTGAAGCCCTAGTGTCTAGAACAGAGCTGGCACATAGTTGGTATTTAATAGTTTGGAAGAATAAGTCAATCCATATAAACCACATAGCTGCTGGTGCATACATTCTGATGCCAAGGTCCTGAGTATTTTTTGTCCTCTTCCCTAATTGTAGAGAGTGGAGGGCTGGGGCATGTTTTTGAATATTAATTTAAAACAAGTATAGGTCTTGATTAGCACACAATCAGATTCTTGGAAGGGAACTTAGATATTTTTACATTAACCTTTTAAATAGCAGCTCTTTGTTAATTCTTAAGACTTCAGACAAGTCATTAATGCTACTGAACCTCAGTTTCTTGTCTATTACATGAGTGTCAGAGAAGTGACTGGGAAAAAATTACTTTCCTTTATTCTCATGAGCATAGACTCAAAATTCCTAAACACAATGTTAGCCAATACAACCAACAATATAGAAATAACATAATAATTCATGACCAAGTAAGGTTTATTTGAGGAATATGATGATAGTTATTTAATATTTAATATTTAAAAATCAATGAATGTACTTTTAAAAATAACTGTAAAACAGAGAAAATAATACTATCATCTCAGTAGATGCAAAAAAGGTATGAGACAAAATTCAACCCCATTCATGATCAAAACAAATAACTGAGGAACTTAGGAATAGTTCTCTAGCTTTTAAAATGTGATAAAAAGCATCTGCAAAAAAATCTTCAAAAAGAGTTCAACTAATATTGAACTCCTTCCCCCTAAATTTGAAAATATCTATTCAATGTAATTTTGAAAGTTCTAGTCATTAGAAGAGAAGGGAATGAAAATTATAAAAATATTAAATAATAAAAGAAATATAATTGCCTTTATTTACAAATGACGATTATCTGCATAAGAATCCAAAAGAAGTTATAAACTATGAGAATTAATAAGTAATTTAGTAAACTTTCTGGATGGACAATCAATACAGAAAAAGTACTTTATGTATGAGCCAAAATAGGCAGAATAGGTTAGAGAATTAGAAAAACGATGCCATTTAAAATAGCACCTAAAAACCATGTACCTATGGATTAAAGTTAACAAAAGATTTGTAAGACATCTATTATTAAAACTACAGAATGTTGCTACAAGAAAGTAACAAAGACGTCAATAGAGATATATCAAGTTTGTGTGGGAAGACCCAATATTTTTGTATGTCATTTTCCCAAAATTGATCTATAAATTTGATATGACCCCCATCAAAGCTGTAGCAGGTTTTTGTGTATAAACTGACCAGCTGATTCTAACATTTATATTGAAATAAAAGGACCTAAAAAAGCTTACATGACATTGGAGAACAAAGCTAGAGGGCTTACACCACCAGACTTCCAGACTTACTGTAAAGCTCCAATAATTAACACAGTGTGGTATTATGCAAGGAAAGACAAATGGACCAATGGGAAAGAATTAGGTGTCCAGAAATAGATTCATGTGTATGGAGTCCCTTGGTTTATTATCCATGTGCCACTGGAGTTCAGTGGGAGAAAGAGTGGTCTTTTCATTAAATTGTGCAGTAATATTAAATATTCATATAAAAAATGAACCATGCCTCCTATATTATAGCATATAATAAAATTAATTTGAGTTGGATTACAGATCTATATATAAAAGACAGAAAAATAAAGTTTCAAGAAGACAGAAGCCATCTTTATGATCTTAGGCTAGGCATAGATTTCTTTAAATAGATTCATAAAGCATTCGCCATTTAAAAACAACACTGATAAACTGGACTTCAATAGAACCATGAAGGTCAATTCTTCAGAAGATATCAATTGTTGTGAGAGTCCCAGACCACTTAATTATGTCCCATTGGTCTTTGTCTCTCCTTGCAAAATACCACACTGTGTTAATTATTGGAGCTTTACAGTAAGTCTGGAAGTCTGGTAGTGTAAGCTCTCTAGCTTTGTTCTTCAATGTCATGTAAGCTTTTTTAGGTCCTATATGCTGAGAGTAATTTATATCTGACAAAGGTGTGGCATGCTGAATATTGAAAGAGCTTATGTAAATTAATAGACATAAAGCATATAGTTTTAAAAATATTTCAGGTATTCTATAAGCAGGATTTCCAAATAACCAATAAGCATATTGAAATCTAATCAATATTATTACTCATCAAGAAAATGTAAATTAAAAGCACAATAAAATAAAACTTTACATCCACTGAAGTGGCAAAGAGTTAAAGGGTTTACAGTATGAAAGCTTATTCTCATACACTGCTGGTAGGAGTGTAAACTAGTGTAAACACTTTGGAAAACTGACAGTACCTACTAATCTTGCATCCCTGTAATTCAGAAATTTTACTTTTAGTAATTTGAGGAGTAGAAATGCATATATATGTTCACCAAAACCACTACAAGGTAATAGAATTATTATTCATAATAGCTAAAAACAAGAAATAAAATGTTAATCAGGAGGAGAATGAGAAGAAAGCCACCATGCAGTCCTACAATGAAATGCGACAGGAAATAAAATAGAACCAACTGCTAATCAACCACATGTATGATCATCAAATAATTATGCTTTAAGAAGCCAGATTTAAAAAAAAGTAGTTCTGATTTTGTTTATATGAGGTTCAAAACAGGTACAACCAATTTATTTGTAACAGAAGGCAGTATAGTGTTTATCTAGGGAGAGTGTAATTATTGGGAGGGGGCATGAGAGAAATTCCTCCTGTGCTGGTACTATTCTGTGCCATGATTCAGTGGTGGTGACCCAGGGGTAGACATGTACAAACACATCTGGATGTATGGTCAAGATGAGGGCACTCTGTGAACCTCACTGGGTGCATCTTACACTTCAGTTAGAAAGAAAACAAAATAAAAAATTAGATTTTAGTGAAAGTAAAAGGCATCAGTTAAAAGAACATAAGAGGACAAAATAATAAAAGATAAGCCACCAGGTGGAAGAATATTCTCATACCTCTGGGTGGGCAGACCACTGGGTTACAGCTCCCTGGAGTGAGAATGCAGGCAGCATACACTGAGGTCTGTTCAGGATTTGAGTTCACTGGAGTCAGCTAACTCTCTGAGCAGCAGGCTTCAGAGCTAACAGCCTTTCAGCCTCTATGTGTATTAGACAGGCATTAACACCTCAAAAGGAGCAGAGAACTGGGCAGCATCGGCGCAGCCAGCTGAGCTCTCACAAGTCCAGTAGCCTCTAGCAACCAGAAGGGAACTTTTGGCATTTAGCCCTTTCCCTTTGTCACCAGTAGACCCCTGCAGGATGCCTCTGGCAAGGACTGGCATAGGACTTTTGCTTTTTGTCCATTCTCCACAAAAAAGCAATTCCATTCTGGGCAGAACTTTTTGATTGATGGATTTTTAGGCCTAGTCAATAACTACCATGATTGGAAAACTATTTGTAATCCATTCTGATGGGGGAGTTTGTTCAAGAATGGAAAGGGTATTTTAAATCTGGTTTTTGGATTTCATATCACATTCTCAGGTTTTGCTGTGAATGAAATGAGCAGCCAAAGAGCTCTGTCTAAACCATTGCTTTCTATGGCTCCAAGCTTGCTCACTGTGGATGCTGGCCCAGATGCAGAGCTAAACCAAGAATGTCATAAACTCCTCGTCTTTGGTGTCAGATACTATAATGACTAAAACAATAGTCTTGTTTGACAGTGCCTATCTTAGCCTCTTATTCATCTCAAGCTGTAAAGGGAGGTGCATTAGTATTTGTGGTCATGTGTTGATCAGTTGAAACCTCATCAACTGCTTTCAAATGCAAGGGAAAAAGTGGTTTTTAGGCATGAGGCACTATAAGAGCTGCAGAGCATTGTAATTGGCACCTCTTTGTCTAGCACATGTTCATATTTACTAATATTATAATTTATATGAGATGTGACAATTTCAACACACTTCTATGCACATTGTTTCATTGGATCCTCCTAAATTTCCATAAAATATTTACCACACCAATTGGACTTCTACTCAAGATCACCAAGTAGAGGTGTTGGGACTACAACTCATATGTTTTTGTCCCCACTGCAATTTCTAGGCTGGACTTTCACAAGCAAAATCTGTTGCTTTTGAACTTTCACACTAGACAGCTTGAACTAGCAAGTGTCTTTTCCCCCTTCTGAGATCACATATTGGCACAAAACTTTGCAATGCATGACATTTGTACAGGAGGTGTTCATCACACCATTCTGTAAGGTAGGGCATACAAAGAACATGGACCACACAGAGATCTGGTTATATTTCTCCAAATTAGTAGATGCCTGTAATGAACGTACGGGCTGTAACGAACAATACACAAACCCTGACATTTTGCTTTAGGTTTAGAGTGTATCAGACAAAGTTTTATTAAATCATTAGAGAAGGGAAACAGAAACCTAGCTGCCATTTCAAACACCCAAGTGACCCTCATTTTTTTAGTGAATTATAAAATATTGGACACTCTAAGAAGGAAGTGAATGAAAAAAATTAAGTTTTCTGTAACTACTCAGCATCTGAAGTGATTAATAATGGATATAATTCATGAACTATCACTACTTCTTACAGAGTGGAAACATCACTTTTCTCCATTGTTTTATTAAGGTATAATTTACATTCAGCAAAATTTCTCCTTTTTAGTGTTCAGTTCTGCAGATTTTGGCTGACACATACGGTTGTATAACCACCACCCAAATCAAGATACAGAACAGTTCCAATCACTCCCCAAAATCCTATATAATCTGTATTATGATTATCTACAATTGCCTAAAATGTGTTGACTTACCATGACATCCAGAAACACAGAAATTAATATGTGTATGTATATGCCAAATATGTGTATATTTAGAGATTATTTGTCCTACATTTACAGATCAGCAGATTGAGGCCCAGGGAGGGGCATGATTTCCCTGAGTGGTGCAGCTAGGGTTAAACCATGTCTGTCTTAGAGCTATTATTACTGTTCTAACATACACACTGTTCATATTTGGAGATAGAAAGTTAAGGAAGAGCCCAGCTTATGTAGACAGACCTGAGAAAAACCCTCTGTCCTCAAAGTGGGACCTGCTGAGCTGGACTCCAGCTCCCTGGTTATAAATAAGTATGTTTTTCTTTGACAACAACACAAATCTGCCTTCATCAGTAATTTTTGACTTAGCCCAGTGTGGGACTTTTCTCCCCATATGAATACTGCTCTGATTTTATGGTAGAAATTTGTTAGATAACAGAATTTACAGAACTGTGCTGTACTTGCAGAAATGCTTGATGCCACAGCTGTAACTTGACCATAAAGTAAGGGATGCCTTGTTTTATCCACAGGCAAGCTATCAAGGACTGAAAAAACCCCACAGAGGAAGAGGGGGTGACTAATCAGACAAATAAAAATTTGCTGCTTATATCATCATCCAACTGTGCATGCTGCAAATGTCATTTTATTTTAACATGCTGGGAACACTTGTCTTGATTGAATGTTAGTCAATAAAAATTCCCTTTTAAAGGACTGCTGCTGTGGGGTCCTCTCTTGTTTCCTGAAGCTTCAGAGACATGCTGAGAATTCAGACAAAAACATAATGCACAATACTAAATAGAGTGCTATAAAGTACTAAAAAGGTACAGTCCCTTGTCCATTAAAAGTACAGTAAATTTTTCTGAAAGTTAGATTCAATATTATGTGTGAGTTTTTCTTTCTTGGAACCATAGATTTCCTTAAATATTTCCATTAGATCCAAGATAGAGTGACATGATAAAAATGAAATAAAAAATTATAATCATCCATTGGATATCAGAAGAAAAAGGAGACTGGGTTTTTTTTTCATAAAAATAAAACTCAAAGGAACTCAAGCTCATCCCATTTGCAATTAAAGCACACATTTAAGTCACAAAGTTACACAGCCTTGGCAGAGAAGCTGAGCTAATTTATAGGTATTTAATTAACTCCACGGGGTAGAGTCCCCTGTTGTTGCTTTGTGAATGTAAAATTTATATTGATGATTATAAAAAACTAGTTTAAAATAGTTAAGAACACCTGAATGAACACAGTAAGGCCTATTCTCTCTCAGACTCCAAATGGTCCATATCAGGTTGTGAAAATTGACACAATATTTCACAAGAGCTTTACTGGGGCTAAGTGGTAGGAGAACAAGGGTGAAGAGGAAGAAGAGGAAAATGCAGCCAGATTCCTTCCTTTTGTTTTCTTTCGATGGAGGAAACTGAAGAGTATCCTGTTTTCTTTTTCCCATCTTGGCGGAATGTAATGTAGGGCCAACAGGCAAAGCAATCTCCTTGAAAAGGCGTGGACCACTGCCATACGAAAGAAACAAACCCTACCATTTGGGACCACATGGATGGAGCTGGAGGACGTTATGCTCAGTGAAATAAGCCAGGGGGAGAAAGACAAATGCCACATGATTTCCCTCATTTGTGGAGTATAACAATGAAGCAAAACTGAAGGAACAAAATAGCAGACTCAGAGACTCCAAGAACGAACTGGTGGTTACCAAAGGGGAGGGGTGTGGGAGGGTGGGTGAGGAGGGAGGGAGCAGGGGATTGACGGGTATTATGTTTAGTACACATGGTGTGGGGGGTCACGGGGAGAACAGTGTATCACAGAGAGGGCACATAGTGGATCTGTGGCAACTTGCTGCACTGGTGAACAGTGACTGCAATGGGGTATGGGTGGGGACTTGATAATGTGGGTAAATGTAGTAACCACATTGTTTTTTCATGTGAAACCTTCATAAGAATGTATATCAATCATACCTTAATAAAAATAAAAAGAAGATGCAGACCACTGACAAACCAGCCAACCTCTCAGTATTTATTCAGTCTTTTTTTTTTATTTTTATTCTCTTGCATTTCTTCCACACCCTACACACGGGCAGTTTTTTTTTCAGAGTTGAAGGCCATCACACGACTATTTTCTCCTTTCTCTTTCAGAACTATTTTAGCTGCCCCTGAAAAAAGTCCATTAAACTCAAATGTATTAGAGTAAGTAATGGAAATGTAAAAAGAGGTATTAGTTGATAATATTTACTGAGCATTTAATGGGCAATGTCTGTACAATTTTCTCTAAGTTTCATTCCACCTGTCTTTCGGGAGATGAATGATAAATGTTATTTTCTAAATTGCCTTGAGTCAAAGCTTGGATTCATTACAAAAATATTAAGAAATTGTTAGTAAATATGTTTTTTAAAGAACAAAAACACTATTTGCTACTCAGAAAGAGGTACTTGAAATCCAACACTGTGTCTCTCCTACAGTGTAGCATCTTTAAATCCCCCTCCTCTGCTTGTGTCTCCCTTTTCCTGCTCTGATCCTGGCCCTCTAGCCTCCCTCTTGTGAGGACCCTTGTAATTCCACTGGGTGCACCCACATAACTCAGGATACTCTCCCTAGCTCAAGATCCCTAATATTTTTACATCTACAAAGTCCCTTTTGTATCATGTAAGTTAATATATACACAGGTTTCAGGGATTAAAATATGGTTAACTTTGGGTGAACCATTATCCTGTCTACCACACATGCCAGTTGCTAAGCTGTGTTTCCTTGGTGACAAATCCACTATTCTATATCTCTGATTTGAGATAATGGGACTCTGCAGACTGTGTTTCTGTTTTAATCACTGGTTGCCTGTTAGGTTATGCCAATAGGGGGCATTAAAGGATACTGGAAGGCAGGAAGAGGAAGAAGGGAATTAATTCTGTTTAGCTTGATACTCGTATTGACATTGCCCCAGAATGGTCCTCACTGGCAGCAGCAGATGGCACAGATTCCAGCTTTATTCCACACTCCCAAAATGGCTACACTTCCTGAGTCAGCCTCCTCACCCTCAGACTACCCAGACAAGAGGTCAGTGGACCTCTGCATGGAATCTAGTCTCCACTCATCAGCACCACTGATCCAGGCATCTGGGTTCTGATAATCTCAAATTATTTTGTCTCTCCAGACCTAGAGAGGACAAGAGTTTCTTGCAATAATTATTATAGTGTTCATTTTTAGATTTTTCAGTTCTCCAACATCTGTTTAACCATTTCACTACATTAAACATCTCTTGGTTTGAACATGTGGTATAATTTTGTTATCTGATACATTTATTTGCACTATGACTGGTTTTTCAATGCCCCC